TATGCTAGTTGATTGTTATGTTATTTGCATGGAAGACCCCGGGGGAGCCCGTGGAAGTTGGAAATAAGACCATGTGGGGGAGCCCATGGCAAGTAGGTAAAGACCATGCGGGGGAGCCCATGTCAAGTAGGTATAAGACCCTGGGAGGAGCCTGTGACATCCTTATATGTTTGTATGTATGACTTATGTGATATATGTAGCTTTTATAGCTAATATGATATGTGTTATGTGGATTGTGTGTGGGGTATGCTCTGAGGAACTCAATCGTTTTATGGGATACTTTGATGATCTGAAATAAAATTGTATTTTATGTGAGTTTTGAAAACAATTGTATTCGTATTTCATATTTGTGGAATGTATTTTTGGTAATTAAAAATGAAAAAAATTTCTTTTGAAATTGGTTCGTTACACTGGGAAGGAGAACTAAGCATTCGTTATAAGGGATGTGGATACCTTCTCTGCAATAACGTGTTTTAAATTCGTGAGGGTAGTAGATCAATAAGAACTCTACAGTTAAGCGTGTTCGGGCGAGAGTCGTACTGTGATGGGTGACCCCCTGGGAATTCCTCGTGCCGAGTGGCCTACAGTGGACAATATTGTGATACGTGTCGGATGGGGATGTTACAAGTTCGTATAAGAGCCTTGGTTTAATGGATTCAGACATACTCTCAGGTGTGCCTGAACTCAAACTAAGGGTTTGGTTAAAGTTATTGTATTAGGTGTCTAAGACCATAACTATAATTTATATATACTAAAATTGATAGTAGCACAGTCTTTTTGGGTTGCCCTCAAGACAAGTAATTGGACAAGATGGTTTTGGAGAAAGAGGTTGATTTATTATTTGATTAATAAATTAAAATAAATGTTTTGTTAATATATTATGAAAATAATTTATTAATTACAAAAAGTAATATTTAATTAATATTTAATCACAAATTAATTGGAAGTTATTTTAGGATTAATAAAATTAATTAAAAGTGCAGGGACTAAAATGCAATTGTTCAATAGTTGAGCAAGAGGCAATCTAGGACCCTCCATGAAGTCATGGACGGTTTCTTCATGCTTAAGGAGTTCTAGAACAGTCATTGTTGGATAAACATGAAAGTGGATAATTACCCGGTTTAAGATTATCTTGGATTAGGGTTTATTTAGGGTTTCCTGACTGCACTATATAAACAGCCTAAACCCTTTAATTTCCGGCTACTTGCTTCTTGGAAGATTCAACCAAAAATTTGAATCCTCTCTCCTCCTTATCAATCATCCTTTATTGCTTATGTTGGGTCTGAACCACTAGAGGTGTGACACTTGCTCTCAAGGCTTCATCAACACAAGGAGTTTTTTATTGTTATCACTATATAACAATCAAGGTATGATTCTTATAACTCTTATTGTGTATTTATAAAATATGTTATTATCCTAAGGTTTTATGTTTTGTTGTTTAATTTGTATGTTAAGTTAGAGAAAACGTAGATCAAATTTTTTTAGGGTTGCATGCACACATATGAATATGTGTTTTGCATAATACTCATCAATGATATTTGAGCGTAGGTTTAATTTTCTATTGAATTGATTCAATTGTTGAACTTGAACAAGGAGAAGCAAAAATAATCACTATTATGTTCCGACACCACGACATGGTGACCTTCACAACGACGTGGTGACCTTCGATTTTGCTCTACCACGATCTACTAATTGTTTACCAAAACGTGGTGGGCTGTCAGATTCAAAAAATTCGGTTTTCAAGATATCATATGAATTGATTAGGATAATTACCTTTAATTATGTTTTAATAGTATCAAACCGAATATATTTGAAGGTATGTGAATGACGCTTCACCAATTTCCACCACGAAAACAAAATAATTTAATTAGGTTTTACTTGGATTTGAAACTCCTAGATCTTTTGAGATTCATTGAATTGTTCAATGGCATGTTTCAATCTCGAGTGTGCCCTTCAGGTTTTGTGACTAGGATGCCGAGGATCACAAAACAAGGTGTGAAGTAACCATGCAAATTACTTGGTACCCTTAAGTGTTTACCCCTCAATCGACGTGTCTGTTAACCACACACATTCCATCGATACTATGATAAACATTAAGTTACTCTTTGCCTACCTTGTTAAATCAAGCTAGTGTGCCGGTTAACCACACACGCTCCACTAACGACTTAAGCAAAGTGCAAAGTATAATTTCATGGGTTAGCACCAAATTCACATTTTCCTAAGTAACTAAGATTGGGTATTAATAAGTGTTTAGTTACTTAGTATTTATCATTAATACTTTTAATGAAGGGAGAATTATAGTCCTTGTCCTACCCGTTTGGCTAACGACCCTCCACCAGTCAAGAAAGCGGTGGGTGAGAGTGGACACCCATTAAACTGCCATTTTATAGCAGTAACCTTATACCCCCCTTATAGACCGGCTTCGTGAATGAGGCCTACTAATGGTAAGATGAATTGCTCTAATACATATATATAAATATTATTAACTTATAATGTTATAAAGTATAAGGGTTGAATTTTAACTTTTAAAATTCTAAGGGCTTAACTTGGAATTAAAGTATTCATCGGAAAACTTTACAAATTCAAAACTTGAGGGCAAGTTTTGAAACTATTCAAAACTATTTAATTCCATAACTTATGTGTTTAAAGTAGTTTTAATTAAGAAAACTCTTTGAGTTTCATAACTTGACGACAAGTTATGGAAGACTTTAAACTATTAAAGAATGTAACTCTTCTTCTTTTGTAACTTATGGAACTAATTAAGGTTATACATTTTTATTATTTAATGAAGAGACTCTTGAACTTTCATAACTTGGGGACAAGTTATGGAGTCAAAAAAACCATTTAATGAGGACAAGACTCTTCATTTTGTAATATTTGCCAACTTTTATGAGTTTTAAGAAACTTAAATGTGACCTTTGATGTAACTTGAGGAAAAGTTACAAAAACACATTTTAGAATCAACTCTTAGATTAAAATGGATTAAAAACACATAATCAATGAACTTTTCTATTAATCCAAGCAACTCATATGAACAAAGATAATTCACATCAAACTTTTTAATGTAATTTGCATAACTCTTAAAATAATACAAAACATGAATCTATTGACAATTATCTTTGAAATTGGATTAGTATGAACATTACCACATCCAAAATAAGTTTATAAGTCCAAAAGCAGCTTAGGGTAATATTCCTAGTCCAATTCCAGCCAAAACAGTCTAATATATGTTGTCAGGGGGTCCAACTCGTCGAGTGCATGAAGCAAATCAGCGAGTTGGATGAATTTAGCCTTGGAATCGATGAGTCCCTTCATGGACTCGGCAAGTCTGTTGTGCAGACAACTCAAAAATTCATTTTTTTTTTCAGCCAAATTTGCAAGTATAACAAGAAAACAAGCCTAGGATCTGATACCACTGTTGAGTTTTAAGCATTCTAACACTCCTAAGTGTAATGCAACCCTAAATACCTTGGATCTATGTTTTCTCTATTATACATGCAAATATGAACTTTCCAAGATATTCATCCTAAGTAGCACAATAACATTGATTCATATGAATATCTCAAGTTAGAATTACATACCTCTTTGATGTAGAATGTCTTCATGAAGCTTGAGTGCCTAGTGCCCCAAGTGTGACACCTCAAATGGTTCACACAACACCAAATACACTTGGAATAACTTGAGAGAATATACACACTTCATGAAAATCGGCTAGCCCTTTCATACATACTCTAGTGACCGATTTTATCAACAATAAGATGCTTATATAGTTAGTGACAATTAGGGTAAACCCTAATTGTCATGGCTTTCCATTTCCTTGGATCCATGGGTTCAAATACACCATGGAGCATCCTATGGGTTTTAGCCCAACTTGATAATCCATGGAGTCTTAGCCCACTATAAAAGTATGGATGATTTGCACAATCAACCCATATATTTAATTAGTCTTCTTTTGATCACTTAATTCATTCTAGATTAAATTTTGTTCAATACTAATTAAATAATCTTATTAATATTTTAGAACTTATAATATATTAACAAACCTTAAGTGTTATTTCTCTCATTATAGTCAATCCAAATGCATGATGCCATGCAACCCAAATGGACCATGTCGCGTCGGATCAAGTCTTACCAATTATAGTTATGGACTTAAACATTAATCCAACATAAAGATGCTCTTGAAGACAAGTTTTTATAAATTGACAAAGTTCATACTTATGATAATGGTTTGTATATGTTGACTAAAACTATAGCAAGAGAGACATTGAAGATATATTGTTCGATCGTCGAGATGACGAACTCTTCTGTATATGCCAATAAGGGGAAGAATTGTTGGGTTTCTCTTAGATTTTTTAGCCCATCAGGAAGGCCTAATTTTATTTAACCCATGTTATCCCACATATATTTACTTGTTACCCTTATTTTCATTAAGCACAAATTCACAGCCACCAAGAGAGAGAGAGAGAGAGAGAGAGAGAGAGAGACCAAGAGAGAGAGAGAAAGAGAGAGTTTCATCTTTTTCCTGTTTTTGAAGATACTCATGCAATGATTGGTAATTTCCTAATGATCCCATAGTTCGTTTTCTTTTATTTTCAAGTAGCTGCTTCCTAACATCGAAGCCTTTAAATCGACCGGTTTGTTTGCCCATATTTGTCTTGGAGCCTCGAAAATCACTGCTTTTTGTTTTCTACTAGAAAGCATCCCTTGTTTTGGTGATATTCTTCTTTGTCTTTGCTTATTTGATTCCTAACACTAGAAGTAATTTGCTCCAAGTTTTGATGCTTATTGTATGCCTCTAGTACATCTTGAGAAGAGTTTTGTATTGCTCATATATTCGTGATAGTGGATTTGAAATGGTTCTAATAGTCTCGTCGTTTAATCTTAAATTGTTGACAGATTTCCAATGCCTAATGCTTCACTTCATGCATACAATGTAATATATTTCTATACACTAACATTAAGAGATATATATACTAGAATATCATAACATAATCTACTATACCTTTTTCCATAATAGCAATGTTCTTACTACTTTGTACCAACTATAACAATTTTCAATCTGGATAACTATTAACTAAACAATAGTATGAAGAAACAAATGCATAACGAATATGTATGGTACATGTTTCTATTAATGCACATACATGCGACTTGATGCTTATAATTCAAATCTGAATGCTAAAATGTCTTGTTTCATCACTTTTACTTACTGAAAATGTAGAGTTTGTAGTTTTTCCCCTAAAATTAGCGATGACCGTGTATTCTCCTAAGAACCCATAAAAGCTAAAAGTACCATGTTCGTCGGTTTGACTATTGATAACCCCAGTTTGCCATTCTTTTAGAAGCCTATCGACAGTATCACCAGCTGGAAGATTGTTGAAATTTGTATCAGTTAGGCACATTTGGTAACATTTTCCATTTTGCTTCAAGGCAGACCACAACATTATTCCATTAACTGAAGGGTGTGAGAAACCTTCACGCAAAACGTCTTCCAAATAAGTCGCCTATAAGAGACAAAAATATATATATTAAAAACAATAGTATTAAAGATGTTTTGTGTTTAAGGTAGAAAATATGGATTTAACTAATGAAACCGGACCACTGCATAAATATTTGACTACTAGCTCTTAAAAGAGTTGATTAAAAACTTAATATGTGTCTTAGAAGTCTTTCTTGATTCTTTTTATTACAATAAAAATGATTGTTTCCTCCAAAAGAGAATTATACACAACCCACGCTTCACAAAAAATAAAATTTAAAAATTACTCGTTTGGTGTCACGAGATTCACTTAGGATGACAGATCATAGAATAATTTGGACAGTGCCCCTATTGTTTAACCTTTTTATTGGGACATTTTAAAAAACTGTAGATTTCTCCAATTTGACATCATTTCTGACTTCAAAATAAGTAAAACACATTGCAACTTCTTATATCTTTTTATGTCATCTCATGCCATATCTTAATAAACGCAACTATAGAGATGGAATTTATGGATCTAATGACACTCATTTCTGTTGCAAATAGTCTAACTTTTCATGAAGGACAAAGTGAATCTTGATACTAACCTGTGTATCTTGGCCTAATGTATTTGCGATATCAACTTCAGTAAGCCAAATCGGAATTTGTAAAGTTGCAAATTTATCAAGAATGGCTCGCATCAAAGGCAAATTCGGTACTTCAAAGTGACTTTCCAATCCGATCCCATCCATATAAACTCCAAATCTCTGCAAATCCCTCATTTTCGAAATATAAGTGTCGACTGTAGATTTAACATCCCTACAACTCTCCACAACATTAAAATCGTTCATGAAAAGTGTCGCTAAAGGGTCGGCTTCATGTGCGGCTTTAAAGAATTCGTAAGTAGCATTTTTTCCAAGTTTATCCTCATAAAAATCAAAGTGAAGAAACTCGTTGCTAACATCCCAGTGGACAAATTCGTCTTTGTACCTTGTCATTAGGCTTGTGATTCTTTGTTTCACTGCTAGCTCTAGCTCAAGATCGGTTAGGTTAAGAACCCATGAAGGTATGTATTTTGGGTCTTCCCAAAAAATGTTGTGACCTCTAGCAACAATTTGGTTTGCTCGAACAAAATCAAGCATTTTATCGGCTAATGTGTAATTGTAAACCCCTTGTTTAGGCTCGGTTGCAGCCCATTTGAGCTCGTTTTCAAATACAGCAGCATTAAATCGTTCCACGAACCATTTCTATAAAAGTAAATTCAAATGAACTCAGAGTTTGATTATCTTTGAATAAAATGTTGTCCGCATAAATGATGTTTACAGTATATTTAAAAAATGATGACAAACTTGGGGAAATAGAAGGTAACAAATAAATGAAGGTAAAATTGTAAAAAGTTAAAGACTTAATAGGAAATTCTTTATTTCCCAAACTCTCTCTCTATTAAGTTGTTTTTCATACAATTTGTAGAAAAGATAGCACAAATTAGGCAAATGAGCAACCTACTTTACTCGCGTTACCGGTATAGCAATATAATTTGTATTTTACTCATAATAGCAACTTAAGATTTTCTTTACCGATAATAGAAATTTATTTTATATTTTACCTAAAATGGCAATATATTAACATTTTGCTATGAAGATAGGCATTGTACTTTATCTGTTTGGTAAAAAAAATGTAGATATTGTCAATTATGTGCAAAGAACTGTAAGTGTGTTACTATTAAGTTTCATTCAGATGTACGTATGTTGTTGTTATGAGTTACATATTTGTATTAATAGTAAAAAATGTAAGTATGATGTGATTACGAGTAACATATTGTTATTATTGGGAAAAGAAAATAAGTAAGTTGCTATTATTGATAATGAAATGTAAGTATATTGCTATTTTGGTTTAAAAACAAAGTACGTTACCTATATTATAAAAAAGAGTAAACTACGTTACTATTTCTAGCAATTGTCAAAAAAGAACATGATATATTCATGTGTTGAACCATAAAACATACCTGATAAGGTAAATTTCCAATGATGTAATTGTTTATAGCAGATCCAAATGGAAAATCTTTTGAAACTTGTTCCACACGGATCACTGCCCCTTGTAGCCGAGCTCCTTGTTTATCTGACACGTGAATTGTGACAGCACGCTTCCTTTCCTGAATCAAATGATATATTCAAGAAAATCCATATCTAAAAAATAGAAAGAAAAAAAAAAAAAAAAAAAAAAAAAACTATGCTTCATCGACTTGTACATACGGTGTTGATCTTGTACTGTTGTTGAAGTGACCATTGCTCTTTAGTAAAGGGTTGCAGAGATGCACTAGAAATTGTTATGGTAATCTCCTTATCATCAGAATTCTACATCATTTTAAAAAATTCATGTTACGTATTGTTTAAATTGATATAAAAGTAGAAGTATCTTGTGCGGAAAACTAAATCAAAGTATGTTGCTATTTGTGGAACCTGGAAGTAGAGTAGGGAGGGATTTGATTTTGAATTTATGTAAAATCCGCCTTTGAGGAAGGACCAACATTCATGACGTGCAACAACTGTCCCTACACAAGAATTTCCAGTTGATAGCCTTGCGGTAATCAATGATGAATTTGAACCGGAGATCTTAATCCAACCTACAACTCCCCAATAGAAAAAGTATTTAGTATATTTTTATAAATCGATCATATTATTAATATATGATTTGATATATTTCAAAGATAATGATCAACATGACTTGATATTTAACAAATTAACTATATATTTTAGCATTAACATAAAATGAGAATCAATTTTACAATTGGTGCGGAATCACTTTATGAATGATCCCAACCACAAAGCGGTGTCAAAGTTTTGAAATGTTTCAATTTTGATTAATGATGTTTTTAAAGAATTGTGAAATGTGAACAATTTGCAAATATTTGGAGTTTATCGTAAAAGAATTTGTTGACAAAAATCAGTTTCATAATCTTTTGGAATTTCCTAATCAAGCGTTTACGGAATTGATGATCATCTTGTGTTAATCGTGTAAAAGGAAATCAAGTTGTCACATGTTAATTAATGTTGGGGTATTTCTGTGTCGGTATAGGTCTAAACGTTGCGAGAGGGTATCTAGGTGGCACCTCCTTGATGTTGTGGTCACATCGGGAATACGGTCTCACCCTAATGTCATGTCTTCTTCCATGGAGAATACAACGCAAAGACAGGCCGATGGGTATGGGCCACACTCTCCATGTTACTTATTTTACCACATGACATTTTATGTCATTCTCCACACCGCTTCATTTTTGCTAGGAAATGGCTACCAGATACCACACCATTTTGATTTAGTTTTTGTTTTCTTTTGTTAATTAATAAAAATAATAAATTATAAAATATAATTTTATAAAACATAATATTTAAACAAAAACATTGCATTTTAATTGAAAAATAAAGACATTAAAAATAAGTTAAGATAGTTAAAAAAAAAAAAAACTTTCAACCAAGGTTGTCAAGATCGGGATCTTGATCGTAAGATCCTATGATCCTACCTATAAAAACATTATCAGGTCGCAATAAGATCATTTTACATGTAAGATCGCAGAAAGGATTGTATGATCGGGATCGGGATTCGATCCGATCCTACCATAAATTGCCAAATTTTGATCTAGTTTTTATTATTTTTACCCATTTTGTTGGTTGACTTGGTCTCCTTACTTAATGCTCAATCAATAGTAGCTTCATTTTTGTACTGTTTTTGAACCACAAATGACCAAAAACAGTAAAATTCTTTTTTCCTTTTACGTTTTACCATCAACGATGGTATTGGGATTTAGCCTTGGCTTGTTGTTAATTTCTTCTTTGAATAGTTCAAATTTAACAATAAACAATAGCCTTTTCTAGTTTCCTTTCTTTTAATGTTAACCTTTTTCCTTGAGAACTTAAAAATTACAATTTTTAATTTAGTTTCAAAAGTTGAAATTGCTATGAATTTCCTTCTTATAGTTAAAGCAAATAACAAGAAGGTTGTGAATTGTTATTGTTGTAAGATAAATAATTAGTATTAATGTGCTTTTTAGTAATTTAACCATGTCATTAACTACTACATGACTACATGATTGGTTACTTTTCTTTTTTGAGTTATTTAACCATGATATATGGAAAAAAAGTTTAATATATGATCAATTACCTTTTTATGTAATTTTTAGATCCCGGTCATGATCTTACGATCTCGATCTTGCAAACTTGAAAATGATCATATATAGGATTCCGATCTTGACAACCTTGCATACAAGAATAACTAATGTAAATTTGAGCCTTATTTTTTTTTCTCGAATCTTTGCCTTCAACTCTAGAAAAATGTCATGATCTTCGTACGACAAACCTTCGGTGACTGTCCTTAGAATTTGCGAGCCATTGATGAGTTGTTGTTGTGGGTAGAGTACATCTTCTCACTCTAGTCGTGACTGACTTTTTCTTCTCATTTTTTTTGTTCCCACTCAACCACTTCTTGTCGCCGAAGAATTTCTATGTGCTCACGTCTCAATAAATTTTTGTCTTGTTGCACTACTATGTGCTCCTTGAATTTCTCTTCTATTTCCGCAATGTCCTTCGATTTCCTTTCACTTTCCTCTGCATGTTTAGCTGGTTGTTTCCTCTTATCCCTTCTTACCGGTCGCGGAGGAAGGGAGACATCCGCAATGTCTTTTGGAATTTCATTCATCCCAACACTAAGGTATATGTGAGTTCATGCATTGGAAGCGTCAACCGAACCTGAATTTTGTGACCTCTTCGATTGCGTTTTCTAATAGCATTGGAACGCAAATCCATTTTGGATATTTTCTTGAAATCTTACATGGTTTCTCAAAATTGAAAATGTGGCCAGTCTCCGATCGATATTGTGCACTAACAACTTTTAAAACATTAAAGTAAGTGCTACCTCTTTTTATCGAATAAAGCATTTGTATATCCTGTTTAATTTGGTAGACCTCCTATTATTTCTCATCATTTACTAATTAAGACATTGTTGTTGTGTTATGGACTTTTATTCATTTTAGCATGAAATTTTTTGGAGCACCCCTTCCCAAAAAACATTTTTCTTCGTACCATTTACATCAGTGATATTTTTTAAAGTTGCACACCGGGCCTCTGCTAACACAATTTCCTCCTCTACCGTCCACTAAAAAAAGAATGATCATTATCTTAGGTATTAAATGGCGAGAAATGGTATAAAGAAAATGCTAAGAGGAAGAAAATTCTATACCGCAACAACGATGTCTTAAGTAGTAAATAGCAAGAAATGAACAGGAGGTGTACAAATTCAACGGAATATACAATAAGCTTTATTCAGAAAAAAAAAAAAAGCGATAGAACATACTTCAATGTGTTTTAAAATCGTGAAGTCGCAATATCGATTAAACATGACCCATGTTTTTAGTTTTGAGAGACCATGAGAGATTTTGAGAAAAGATCCAAAATTGTTTTACGTTCCAACATCACCGAAAACACAATTGAAGAGGTCACAAAATTCGAGTTTTGTCGACATTTCCGATGCATAAACTCTCATCGACCTTGACGTAGAGACGAATGAAATTCTACATGAAATTGCAGAGGTCTCCCCTCCTCGGTGGTAACCGATACGAAGGGACAAGGAGATGCGAGTTGCTAAACATGCAAAGGAAACTGAAAAAAATCAAAGCACATGGTGGAAATAAAAGAGAAATTCAAGTAGCACATAGTAGTGTAACAAGCAATAAGGTACTAAGATGTGAGAACATAGAAATTCTTCGACGACAAGAAGCGGTTGAGTGGCAAAAATGAGGAGAAGAACTTGAATGGTCACAACGAGAGCACCAACTCATAAAGGACTTACCAATTCTAAGGATGAGCACCAAATGTTTGGCCTCTAAAGATTTTAAACTTTTGCTAGAGTTGAACACAAAGATTCAAGAAAAAATTAGGGGTTAAATTTAAATTAGTTAACATTGTATGTTCTTTAATTATCATAATGTACTTTTAGTGTCTTGTAATACCTTTATTTTCAATTAAAATGTAATGTTTTATTTACATGTTATGTTTTATAAAATTATTTTGTTTATTTATTAAAATCCTAAAAAAAATATAACCTGAAAATTAAAATGGAGGGGTGCATGGTATGGTGACCATTTCCTAACAAAAAATGAAGTGGTGTATAGAATGACATGACATATGATGTGATAAAAGTATAATACAAAGATTGATCTATTACCACCAACTTAATAACAAGTATTTATATCTTTTATTTATGATAACGATGTATCTTACCCATAATAAAAAAAAAAAAAATTAGTGAGAATAGCAATCTCTCTCTCTCTCTCTCTCTCTCTCTCTCTCTATATATATATATATATATATATATATATATATATATATATATATATATATATATATATATATAATTAATAATTGTAAGAAACTTCTTTTTCTTTCCATTGTGAACAATGTATTTTATTTTTTTATATATTATTATCATCAATCACAAACATGTCCATTAATTCCATAAATTTGTAACTTTTTTACAATTTATCCGGTTAAACGTTTTTTTTTTTTCCATATTTAAGGCTTCAATAAACAAAAAAAAAAAAAAAAAAAAAAAAAAAAAAAAAAAAAAACTTAAGCGTTTCAACAAACCAGATGGTAAAATTGAAGGAAAAAAATTACAAACATTCGGTTTAACGAAACTAAAATCTGTAAAAAGGTGAAACTAATAAAAACTTTCAAATTTATAACTTTTGATATTTTATGTTATTATCCCAAAACATTATATTGTTTTTGATATTTTATACTATATTTAACACTAGATGGAACATTTTAGGTATATTCCAAATTGTTAACTTTTTTAAATTATAAAAGTCGACCCCTATAAATTTGATTTATATACTTTTATTATAATATATATATTTTTAAATATTACTATAAAAATAGTATATATATAAATATATATATATATATATATATATATATATATATATATATATATATATATATATATATATATATATAACACAATAAATATATGTTAATAAAACCAATATATATATGTTAATAAAATATATATAATCGAGATATCTTATCTATATTTTACTAATATAAAACACAATATATATTTACATAAAAAATATATAGATGACATATTTTACGATATAGGGTTAGGTTAATGTGAAACGGTCTAATTTTGTGAGACCGTGTGATGCAATTCTAATAACTCATTTAGTAGATAAAAAATATTTTTAAAGTGAAAAATAATTGGAAATTTTTGAATTTTTTTTTTCAAATATTACTTTGAATAAAAATAAAAAAATTACAAAAAAATATAAAATATATATATTTTTTACATATTTTAGTAGAATATTAACGTACTATACATATCTGACAAATCTAGTAGAATGTTCCAACATTTAAAAATTACATTAGAATATTTACAATGTAATATTCTATTATAATATTTCACGTACTTTTAAGAAAAAACAACGGTATTTTTTTTATTAATTTTATTTTTTTAGGTAATTAAAGTTTCAAAAATAATAATTAAAAAAACAATCTTTGGATTTTTTTTCTTTTATTTTGCATATTAAAATTATTTTTAGATTTGATTTCATGGTGTTATAAAATTAGATGGTTTCAAATGACCTGAAACTATATATATATATATATATATATATATATATATATATATATATATATATATATATATATATATATATATATATATATATATATATATATTACTTGTAAGATATGTAAATTACAGATATTTTATATAAATATATATTGTGTTTTATATTAGTAAAATATCGATAGACTATAAGTATATAAATTTAAAGTTGAAGGATCGTTATGGAATGTTAAAACAACTAACATTATATTTGTTTGTTGTTAATAAATAATATAAAATCTCATTTATATTATATTATTCAAAAACACGGTTCGGACCAAATTTACATCAAACTTGATGTAAAAATTAGGTTGGAGATGCCCTCTACATTGCTATTTTATGTAAATAGTAAAATAAATGTAATTATGTTATATGTTAAATTAAATTACGTTTTACAAGTGTGGCGCTACAAATTGTTATTATCCGTGTGATATTTTAACTTTTTAAGTATATTGTTGGTATGACTAGTCAAACTTCGAACTAAAGAATAAATATTAGTATATCAGTTATATTGGTATATTGATTGACATTAATTAACTAGAGCAATTTCCCATAAAATAATTTGAAAAGTTACCGATTTGATTCAAATAATAATCTTAACTGGAAAAACTGTAGAAGGTTGAAGGATCAAGACTTGACAACACGAAAGCAGGCCATGAGACCATGGTCCCGTTACCCTCCGTAATGAATTCCATTGTTGCAGCTTCATTTTTCAGAATTCCTCCATCGTAAAGTGGATCCTCGGGTTCCAGTTTACACTGTTTCAACCAATCCAAACACCCATCAAATTTTTTCTTGTTTTCGTATTTAAAAACATGAACTATGAACTCATTTTCATGAACAGTTGTACTGAAGAAACAAAGAAATTACCTGGGTGTAAGCAGTGTAATCATAGAGGGGGCCATCTGCAATAACAACAACAAAGAGAGAAATCTTCATGAGAGAGAGAGAGAGAGAGAGAGAGAGAGAGAGAGAGAGAGAGAGAGAACCTGGAGAAGGGAAGATTGAAGATGGGAAAGAGAGGATGATGACAGCAACAAAGAAAGAAGAAAACGCCATTGATGTTCTTCAACTTTCCTATGAATTTTTAAGCACCATTTCTTGATTTGAAACTCATCAAAGTGAACACTTTCGAAAACATTCCAAATTTTCCATCACGTGTAACTGAATCGATACCACAACACATATGCGTACAGTCTATATATTTATAGAAGGTGAGAGAGAGGGGGGTTGGACATATGTTACACAGAAGGGGAAAATTAATAAAACATAATTTTATAACGGTTATAACTTATAACATATAATTCTGTCATTGTTTGAGAGTTAGTGTCATTTTCTACAAATCTTGTTTTTTGGTATAATGTGTCCTTAAAGGTCACGTGATGCCTATTCATTGAATTATAACAATCTATCAATTAATTAATGAATTAACTTTTCAAGTTTTATGCGATTGTTAAATATTTTCTAAAAATAATTATATGATACAACTGGCACATAGCATAAAGTTATTACCAACATGATTTCATGATTTCTTTAGACATTTGTTTTTGGTAGGGGTGAGCAAAAACCGAACCGCAAACCAAAAAAACCGAAAAAGCCGCATAAACCGAAACCGAAAAACCGAAACCAAAATGAAAACCGATGGTGTGGTTTTTAGTTTTGCAAAAACCGAAAATACTCGGTGCGGTGCGGTTTCTAGTATCTTAAAAACCGCAAAAACCGAACCAAACCGCACCGTATATATATATATATATATATATATATATATATATATATATATATATATAATATATTATATATATATATATATATATATATATTAAGTGTTGATATTTGTAAGAACCAAAAACTTATGACAATTAAAAATTCTATAAATTTAAATATCTATCTTATTTATCGGATGATGATTGTATATTTTTAAGCATACATTCAGTGGTATTTACAATAACAAATAATGTTTATAACATTTTTTTAACATTTAAATATGAAGAGTACTAGTGATATAGTATCATTTTTATGAATACATTAATTGATATTATCGTATGTACTTGTGAAATAAATATTATATTAAATTCACATTATATTGAAGCATTAGAAACATGTTGAATGAGTGGTTAAGTAATTTGATTTCAAACCAATAGGTTGTGGTATGGATTTATCTCCAATAAATGATTACCACTCCTCATTTGAGTCAAAGTAACTCGCTGTATTACTTGAGTTTTAGTAAAAAGGCAAAATAGGAAAAAAAACCGCAAAAAAAACCGAACCGCAAAAAACCGCAAAAACCGAACCGCATAAAAACAAACGGTGCGGTTCCTAAATTTCAAAAAACCGAAGTTGCGGTTTTCGGTTCGGTTTTAACCAAAAACCGCACCAAACCGTACCATGCTCACCCCTAGTTTTTGGATATGAGGATCATTTTTTAAAATCTTTTATTTAAAAATGTAAATTTGGTTCATGAATTTGTAATTGACCCCCAATATTTTGTCCAACACCATCGATTTATTCTGTTAAGAACTATCATATGCATATGGTACGCATTTTAAGGGTATCCTTGATACTTTTAAGTATCTTTATCTTCAATTAGGAGATGAAACCACTTGTATAAGTTTGAAGACATAGAATGATGAACAAGAATCTCATATAATACTCAAAAAACATCCGTATCTAGATTTGAAATAATTAACGAATTGCAAGTTTATATTAAATTGAATAGTTAAAGTGCACCAAATAGAATTGTGAAACTAAATTATGTAAAATGAGTAACACATCAAACTCTAGCTTGATACATACGGCTTGAAAGATCAAGCCGGGTCAAACTCGAGTTTTATTATTCTCGAACTTGGTTCCATAATTCCAGATTTGTTTGGCAATAGTCACTTTATTACCATACGAAGTCAGAACAATTTTAACTAAGTAATTATTATTTGAAATTAATACATGATTTTAAAAGTTAAACAGTAGAGATTATCTTCAGAAATTTCAATTGTTTCCCAATTTTTGTCATATTTATTAATTTCTGAAGTTTTAAAAGAAAAATAAAATATGTAGCTTTCTCTGGTTTAAGAGAATATGTATGGAAGATGCTTCACTCTCATCTTATCAATAGCTGAAAAGGTAAGACATCAAATTTCTTTATCTTTAAACCAATATATATATATATATATATATATATATATATATATATATTATATATATATATATATATATATATATATATATATTATATATATATATAAAGAGAGAGAGAGGTTTCTTTTATCTATACCATCATTTCACTTAACCATATCCCTTATGATTGTATTTTTTTT